GCCAGAAGCCGGTGCCCAGCAGCTGCTCTGCCCACCCTGTCCAGAAGTACAAGGTGGCGTCCTCGAACCACCTGCCCGCTCCCCAGCTCCAGCAGCGGCTCTCCGACTCCCCGGGAATCATCCTCCAGCAGCCTTCGGTGCACCTGGGCGGAGAGTGGCCAGAACACGGTGAGCATCTCCAGGGTCTCTCGGGGCCAGAAACTTAATAAAGGCTTGTGGAATTTTCAAGAGAAACAGTAGAGGAAAGGTGTGTGTAGTAGTACCTGCCTGTAATCCCAACACTCAGGAAGCTGAGGCAGGAGGATCTTGAGCTCTATCTAGATTAGCCTAGGCCAAGAATGAGACCTTGTCTCAAAGAAACAAAGAAGCAAATAAGAGGAAAATCCATGGTTTGAAGCAGTCTGCATATTAAAAACCAAAGAAATTCTCATCTCCAATTAGCAAAAAGCCAAAGCAGATGGCTGGTTCAGTAGTAGAGCACCAGCCTTGAGGGAAAGTGCCAAGCACAAGCGCAAGGCCCTGAGTTCAAGTCCTAGTACTGACATGAAACAGAATACCCCAAGATCCAGCAGGAGGACAATGTGGGGACAGAAGCCTGTCTTGGATGCCATCAGCCACTCACCATGAGCTCCAGCGAGCCGTCCTGCAGGCTGCTGCCCCCCTGGGAGCGGTCAGTGAGCACCGTCAGCTGCGTGACCCCATCCTGGGGGCAAGGAGTGAAGGACAGGGGAGAGTGAAGGGCTGTCCGTCTGCTCTAGTACTAGGGAGATGCTGGGAATCCAGGGAGACGCACACACACTGCAGGGCGACTACATGAGGAACCGGTACCGTGATATAAATTCGGCTGTTGACAGGATAATAGTTTCCAGCCACTGGCTCTGTCTGGTTCAGTTTCCAAGTAGGTCGATAATCCCGCCTGGGTCGGGTGATTTGGTCAAATATGGTATCAGGTTCCTCCATTTCTCTCCTTCCCTCCCTCTTTCCTGTGATCAGCAAATCCCCACACCTCCCTGGAGGCCCAACACTCCCCCCTCCCCCCATGCCATGGGGTTCCCAGCCTCCCTACCTCCTCTCCAGGATCTCCCGGCCGTTGCTGTCTGTGTAGAAGCGGCCCTTGGTGTTCAGCCGGGTGTCAAAGCGGCTGATGACCTCCTTCCCCCAGCCATCGCTGTGCCCAAAGGGATGGCAAGGTTAAGCCTGCCGGGGCCCTTGTTCCCCCACCCCAGTCCCAGCCTGGGCCACTCACTCATGAGGGATCGGTCCCACCGTCCACTCCAACTCCAGGTGACGCTGTCCTGGGTACAGACGAATCACCTGAGAACACCACGCTGAAAAGTTCTGGTGTATCTCCTGCACTAAGGCCGTCTACAAAGACCAGGGAGAGAGCAAGTCAGCCTGCACTAGCTCAGGAGGGCCCTGCAAAGGCTCCCCACCCAGTTGTAAGAACCCCAGGGGCCTATGTCAGAGGTCATGCTACCAACCAGCCACCCCCCTCCCACCAGAGTCAATATCACTGTGTAGATTTGGGGGAGGGGTATATATTTAAAGTAGGGAATAGAACACAGGGCCTCATAAATGGCAGCCAAATGTTGTGCCCGGAGTTGTGGGGATACAGCCCTAAGCCCAAGATGTCAACTCCTACCAGCCCGGCAGGACTGTTGGAGCACTGCACTTGGGTCTCCCCACTCATCCAATTTCCATTACATCTAATCCTCACACCTGCAAATGTTGGGACAACTATTTCTTTGATTTTTCCACCCAGTACTAGGGCTTGAACTCAGCATAGGCACTGTCCCTGAGCTGCTTTTGCTCAAGGTCAGCACTCTACCACTTGAGCCACAGCACCACTCCTGGCTTTTTTTATTTATTTATTTATTTATTTTGTTTGTCGGTCGTGGGACTTGAACTCTGGGCCAGGGCGCTGTCCTTCAGCTCTTCAGCTCAAGGCGAGTGCTCTACCACTTGAGCTACAGCGCCACTTCCGGTTTTCTGGTGGTTTATTGGAGATAGGAGTCTCACGGTCTCTCCTGCCCGGGCTGGCTTTGAACTGCGATCCTCAGATCTCAGCCTCCTGAGTAGCTAGGATTACAGGCGTGAGCCACCAGCGCCCGGCTGGCTTTTTCTCTTCATGTGGTACTTGAACCCAGAGCTTCACGCATGCTAGGCGAGCACTCTACCACTAAGCCACATTCCCTTTTTTTGTCAGTCATGGGTCTTGAACTCTGGGCCTGGGCACTGTTCCTGAGCTCTTCAATTCAAGGCAAGTGCTCTACCCTTGAGCCACAGAGCCACTTCCGGTTTTCTAGTGGTTCATTGGAGAGTTTCACGGAATTTCCTGCCCAGGCTGGCTTTGAACCGTGATCCTTGGATCCCAGCCTCCTGAGTAGCTAGGATGACAGGCGTGAGCCACCGGCGCCCGGCTGATTTTTTAATTTATTATTGTGCCAGTCTTAGGGATTGAACCCAGGGCCTAGGTGCTCTCCCTGAGCTTTTTTGATCAAGGCTAGTGCTCTACCACTTGAACCACAGCTCTACTTCTGGCTTTTTGCTGGTTAACTGGAAATAGGAATCTCACAGACTTGCCTGCTATGGCTGACTGTGAACCGCAATCCTGAGATCCCAGCTTTCTGAAGAACTAGGATTACAGGTGTGAGTCACTATTTTTTTGAGCCAGTACTGGGGTTTGAACTCAGAACCTTGCATTCTCATTTGGCTTTTTTGCTCAAGGCTGGTGCTTTACCACTTGGGCCACAGCTCCACTTCTGGCTCTTCGCTGATTTACTGGGAGTTCAAAATCTTAGGGACTTTTCTGCCCAGACTAGATTCAATCTGCAGTCCTCAGACCTCAGGCTACTGAGTGGCTAGGATGACAGGGGTGAGGTACCAGAGCCTGGCCAGGTGGCCTCTTACACAAGCAGCTACGAACACTGGCCTTAGAGAAGACCCCTGGGTCTGACCCCATCTCTAAGGAAATGTAAACTCTCTCTGCATCTGCACCCTCCCTTTGCACATCACATTTCTGGGTACCACCACACCCACCCCCTCCCAACTCCAAATGTCCACTCATCAACCCTGTCCCCAGACCTTCACCAAGCGCGTCCGGGCCCAGCGGCTCACGGGCATTGGTCTCTTTTGGCTGGGTCTGAAGATGTAGGCACCAGATGCCTGACTGCTTTCCTTGTTACCTGTACTGGCGTTGTACCTGCAGCCAGAGCAGAGCAGAGCAGAGTCAGATAAAGGACCTCGGCTCTGTGTGAACCCTTCCACCGCCCATGACCCCGGCCCGGTGGTCCTCCCTCACCAAAAGAATCCTTGGTCCACAGGAAGCACGAGTTTCTGGTCTATATTCTCAATCTTCATCAATAACCCTGTGTCAGGGTTGAAGGTAGCCCGGATGTACTGAGCAGGGAAGGGTGGACAGTGGGAAATGTCCATCACGTGAGCCAATGACAACTCCAACCTTCCTTCACCCTGATCCTCAATCTAGTCATGGCTCTCCAGGATGAACTGGGGCCTTGCAGGTCCCCACTTCGGTGTCCCCACACCTGGTTCCTCCTGCTGCAGCCACATCACACCTGTGACATGCTGAGTCCAATCAAAGCCTTCATCTGCTCCAAGCCACGGCCAGCTTGAGCATCTCACACAGGAGCTGCCCATTAGGACCCTTGGGGCCCATGAAAGTATTTTTACTTCTTTTAGAATCCAAAGGAAGCAGGGATGGGATTATAGCTCAGTGGTAGAGTAATTGCCTAGCATGTGTGAGGCCTGGGGTTTGATCACTAGCAACACACACACACACACACACACAAAACCTATAATCCTAGCAACTTATGAGGCTAAGAACAGGAGGATCGCAGTTCTAGGCCAGTCTGGGAAGAAACCTTTGAGAGATACCTTTTCAACCCAGAGCTAGACACAGGGAGCATCTGTCATCCTAAACTAGAGGGGATGCTGACACTGGAAGGATCATGGTGCCAGACTAGCTTGGAAAGAAGAGTCCATGAGTCTCCATCACCATGGAAGGAGCTAGGCCTGGTGGTGCTCACCTGTCAAGCAAGTATGACAGGAAGCCTACAGTGGGCACTCAAGCCCAGGTGCAGGCCAGGTGGGTTCCGGACCCTGTCTCAAAAATAACCAGTGAAGGGCTAGAGATAGCAGCTTAGCAAGCACAAAGCCTTGATTTTAAACTCCAGCAGACTGAGATCTGAGAATCTAGGTTCAAAGGCAGCCAGGGCAAGAAAGTCTTGTGAGACTCTTATCTCCAATTAATCACCAAAGAGCCAGAAGTAGAGCTGTGTTTCAGGTGATAAGAGCAGTAGCCTTGAGTGAAAAGGGGAAGGGACAGCACCCAGACCCTGAATCCAAGCCCTAGAACCAACAACACACATACACACACATAAAAAAGAGAGAAGAGAATCCAAAGAAAACCTGAATAGAAAATCAATGAACATACTATAGTATAGACTATACTATAGACTGTACTATAGACTATAGACTATAGTTGTCTTCCTAACATCATCACAAAATATAATGTTAGGTAATTTTTATGGAAGGTAAAAAGGTACACAGCTAAAAATGCTAAGGCCATGACAGTGTATTCTTTTTGTTTTTGGGGTGCTGGGAATGGAATCCATGGCCTGCCTCACATATGCTAAGTGTTCTACTACTGAACCACACCCCCTACTTCTGAGCCACAACCCTAAGCCTCCACTGCCCCCTTTACCTACTCCACCACCTATTGCCCAGTCACACACCCCCAGCCGGAATCTCTTTCCTTAAAAGTCACTTTACCAGGAAGCTCTCCCCTGATCTCCCTGCCCTAAAATTACACACCCCCACAGCCTGACATCAGCTCTGCCACACGCGTCAAACATCACTGACAGCCACACCGGATCCTCACAACAGCCCCAGGAAACACACCAAGGCTCAGATGAAGCTCACTCAGCAAATCACTCAAGGACACACACAATCATGGAGAGAAAATGGGGTTCCAAAAGGCCCTCACCTCATTCTTGATGACCAAGACCTGGCCTTGGGATATCTGGGGTCTGACAGCCTTTGTGCGGGCCTTGGGGCGCTGGCTGGACACACGGGCTACTGAGTAGATGCTGAAGCCCAACGCAGGCACCCGGGCTGCAAACAGGAGCTCTGAGTGTTCCTCCTGATGATAGAAGCCGGGAAGGACCACCATCTTAAGTGAGAGAGGAGGGAACCAAGTCAAGCTGTGCCGACACCTGCAGAACTCTTAAGAGGGGAAGGAGGGCAAGGAGTAGGTGGGAAAAAGAAATCGAGGTGCCATGATTGGCAGGGGAAGATTTCAAGAGAAGCAGGCTGGGGGTGTAGCTCAGTGGCACAGCACTTGCCTGGCATGCCAAGACCTTGGGTTCATTCCCAGCATGAAGCAGCAGATAGAAGGGAGGAGGAACAAGGAGGGAAGAAGGATAAAAGGCGGTAGAGAAAAAAAAAAGGAGGTAGAGGAGGAGGTGGTGGAAAAGGAGGATTCCCAAGGAGTGGGAGCCTAGTGGGAGCCTACAGGGAGGGTACAGATGAGGATGTGGGGAGAAGTCATTGAGAAAGGAAAGACTCGAGATCGGGATTGAGCAGTCAGGGAGGAGACCTTCAGGAGTCAAAGGCAATTTCCTGGGAGGAAGAAGACATAGCTGGTCACACCTGTAATCCCCAGCATGTTGGAAACTAAAGGAGGAGGGTTAGAAGTTCTGGGCCAACCTTGGCTATATAAGAAGACAGGCCAGAAAAGGTAATTAAAAAATGAAAGAGAGAGGGGGAAAAAAAAAGGGAGGGAGGGAGGAAGGAAGGAACTAGTAGCCCACATTGGCCTCGACCATACAATCCTTCTGCCTCAGCCTCCTAAGTGCTGTGATTACACATAGGCACACCACAACCAGCCCTGGAAGTGTGTGTATGGGGATGAGAGAGATTTAAAAGATGGGCTACTCTTTGGAAGATGTTCCAAAGGTGGAGGAGATGGTATTATGGGACAACAGAGGAAGATAGAGGGAGACAGATTCAAGGTAGAGATCTACAGAAGCAGCAGGGAGGAATGCCCAGGGAGAGGTCCAAAGTGGGCTTACTGCACTGGGCACAGTCTTGCCATCGGGATCGTTGACAGCTAAAGCGCCTTCACTGACGGGCAGCCGAACCATATGGTCCACCGTCCTCCCCAGGGGATTATATATGATGACCTGGAACTACAGGGGAAGTTGGGAGAGGGCCTGGGTCATATCACATCCTCTTCAAACCCTCCTAGAAGATGGCAAACACACACACACACACACAGAGGCCTGGGTGCCTGTAATCCCAAGCTACTCAATAGGCTGAGATCTAAGGATCAAGGTTCGAAGCCAACCCAGGCAGAAAAAGCCTTTGAGACTCATCTCCAATTCACCATCCAAAACAAAGCTGAAAGTGGAGCCGTGGCCCAAGTGGCAGAGAGCCAACCTTGAGGGTTAAAAGCCAAATGAGAGCGTGAGGCTCAGAGCTCAACACACAGCAAATAATACAATAATGCCACCGCCCAGCTTCTGCACCCCAGGCCCAGGCCTTCCTCTGCCTGCCCGGGGGGCCTCGGGCCTCGCTCCCGGGGTCCCACCCCTCCCTGACTCACGCGCGAGGCTGATTGGCTGAGGGGACACACGCTGACGTTGAGGCCCCGGCAGAACGAGAAGACCTCCTTGAAGCCGCTCAGCCGCGACAGCGCGTTGCTTATGAGAACCTGGGAGAAGCGCCAAGCCCCGCCCTCAGCTGAGTCTCCGCCCCCTCCCTGAAGCCCCGCCCCGCTGCCTGGGCTCCACGGGGTTCCCAGCCCCGCCCCACCCCTACAGCCCCTGTAAGCTCCTCTACCCTAGGCCACGCCCCACGCCCTCTCCACTTATCTCCTCTGAGGCCCCGCCCTGTTCCTCTGCTCCCAAGACCCAGCCCTATAAGCTCCTTTAGGCCCCATCCCACCGCAAACCACGCCCCATACCTTCTCCACCCTGAGGTCCCGCCCTGTGCTGTTCCTCTCAAAAGCCCCGCCCCAGAAGCCCTCCCAGGCGCTAAACCACGCCCATACTGGCTCCACCACTTACACACGCGACCTGCTGAGGACCCGCCCCCACGGGCCTTCTAGGTCCCACCCACCGCCCCAAGCCACGCCCATTCATGCATTTGTGGTCCTATTGGGTCACGCCTCTCCCGGGCTCCGCCCCCGCGCACCTCGCAGGGCCCCCAGCCGGCCGCCAGCTGCCGCGCGTAGTCGTCCGCCACGTGCTGCCTCGCGGTGCCGCAGACGGCGTCGTGGTGCTGGAGCACGGCCATGGCCTCCTCTGCCGGCACCAAGTCGGGCAGCGTGAGGGCCCGGCAGAACTCTCCGCCCGGACCCCGAGGGACGCGAGAGGGCCGGGGTGTGTTCGTAGGGGCTTTGGGAAGGGACCCCAGGGGCGGCCCGACACCTACGGAGCGGCGCGCTGCTTCCCGCGCCGTACGGTCCCGCGGCGGCCGCCGGGCCCGCCAGCGCCTCCAGCTG